CTCAATAACAATCTTCGATACGTGTTTACGGATTTATGTGACGATGGGTACTATGTAAACAGCCTACATTTATTATTTGCGTCATAGGAGGTATTATAATATTATTGTACTCTCGCCCTTTTATGGTTTTCCGAGTTTGTATATTACATCTCCAAATAGAGGGCCGTAGAGGATATTGTCAGTTTGAAATATTCGTAAAAGAAAATCGTTAGAAAAATAATAGTATTTACGAAATCGGACTGAGTTTGTTTTCCTTATACTTAAATGCGTTTGTTGAGCGATTTGGCGATACCTAGCGTGAACAAACATAGGGTTTCAATAATTATTGTACGCTTTTGAGTAGAAAAAGGCTACAGATAATATATTCAATGATCACAACTAATGTGAACTCGTCACGTAAGGTTATGGTAAAATTGGGGTAATGAGTGCAGGGTATGAATAATATCAGTATATTATACAGTCCAAAGATATGTAATACAATATTTGTATTAATCAAAAAGTAATCATCAATGATGATTATTATTTGAATTTCGTCACATTTCAAAGTGTGCAACAATATAATAATCACAGGTCCAAAAAGCTCTCATTTTAACAACTCATTGTCCTTCCCACTTGATGCAAATTTAGGAGTGACGCAAAATAGGTGTGCTAAAAAATATTAATTAAAATTTGATCAAAAAAAATAATATTATAAACCTTAAATGTATGTTTCTGTTGAAACATTTCGTTGTTTGAGAACGAGCTAAGTTAACTAACTGCTATTTTATCCCACTACGTAATACAGATTTTAAGATTTAGAATTTTTGTTGTTGAATACTGGATTTGTTTTGGAAACAGATAATGGATGGGAATCATTTTAACAGCTCCACTTATTTTAATTATTTTTAAAAACTAACTTTTAATGATGTATTATATCTGTAATTGTATGACAAGCTATAATAATTTTAACTGTATGGAGGAAATAGGAATACACAATTTAAAAATAATAATATTAAATATTATACTATAATATGTATTAACATTGTAAATTAATAATATGAGCTTTGTCTTTAAGACAAGGAATTTCCAAGAATTTTGAAAATATTAAATATTAATTTTGAAAATTACTTGACCTAACCGGAGTTTTTACTGAGTGCTATTATTAAATCAAGTTTACTGAACCCAGCTTTTTTTTAAATAGTTAAAAGCTTGGAATATTTTAGTTTTCGCTTTTTTGTCCCGGATTCTATGATTGAGGATTAAATTATACCGTGTCCACGGCTCTGGGCGGCTGAGTATAAAAATAACAAGAAAATCGAATTTGATTTTTCATACAGATATTCATTTATGATTTTTATCCTATTTTTTATAATTTACATTATAATGTTTAATGTTCATGATTATAAACTGGTAGATTTATATATCGGTGAGAGGCGGTGTTCGCATAACTATTTGCCCTTGGGTTGCTTATGTATTATAATTACCTAAATAGGTAAGTTATACTTTTATTATAATATAATATAATCGATAACTGAAGTCGTAAATTATTGTAATATTTATATAAATATTTGGGTATTTTAGTCTTACATTCACACGTATAACGTGAATATTACAGTAATATGCAAGTATATAATATGCTAGTACATATTTTCAAATAATATATATTGTATTATACTTTTATATACTACACAATATACAAACGGTGTGCGCTCCACTGCGAAATTAAATCAACTTTTGTTTTCTACAAAGGAACACATGCCTATGGTATTTCATTTTGACGTTGTGCGAGTTGCGAGTATGAAACATTTGACATAAATTTCGATTTACAAATAAAATAATATATTCATCGTCCCATATACCTGTTTACGACGTAGAGGAAAAATCAACAATAAAATATATAACAAAATACAATAATATAGGTATGTACAAACTATGTTGTATAAGATGTTTATAACATGATGTACCTACACTAACTTTCACCGTTATGCAGTTTCATCCATTCCGTATGATACCTACCATTAAAATAATGATATATAAGTTAAAACACTTGTACTTAGCTGACGAAAAATGGACCTGTGTTGTTGTTTAGTGAAATAATCGATTATTACTTCGATGTTGTTTCAAAAGAACTATATTATAACAGAACAAATACCTCATGATAACATAGAATAATATCCGTATAAAATTGGCTATCATCGAGCAGCTGTGAAAATCGTGCCAAACATAATATGTATACATGCAAAATGCAAATATACTTTCAAAAACATTTAGAACAGTTTAGTGATTACTACAAAGTATGTTCCCTCTAACGTAGTGGTCAAAACATGTGGCCGCTAACTCTTTCAGTGTGGCCGACAACAGACATTATTTCTTCAAAAATGTTGAGAATAAAAATAAATAATTATTAAACGAAAAATAAATGTACGTACATGTATGTAATATAGGTAGGTATAACCAAGTATGTTGTATTAAATAAAGACATTTTAAATAACTATAGTCAATAGAAAAAATAAATGTTGTTATTTTAATTTATTTTGTTTATTTTGGATTTAGTATTAAGATGAGAAAAAGGGTGTTTTGCCCTCAAATATTTGATGTAGAGACCTGACCTCCGACTCCACTTGTAGGACAAAAAATAATATTTCCGAACTTTGAAGACATTAGCTGCCATTTTCATCTCATTAGTTACAATGTTACATATTATATATTATTCACGTTTCAAATAATTTTTCTCTTTTTAAAATATTTTTTTCATTATATCTTATAAGTATAAAAATGTATTAATTTTAGGTTGGCTGCGCACGCTTAGAATAATCATACTATATTCAATATTGTATTATGTTCAATAAAATGATAAAAATTGATTATAAATGAGAATAATTAGTAGTGTTCATTTAATATTTATGTGTATCGTGGTATTCACAGAAGGGCAAAGTGGCTGAAGGTTAAAAAAGGGCACCTCTGGAAAAAAATGTTGTGAACCACTGTACCTATATATAGATACCATATAGAGTATAATGGTTGTACATTTGTTACTTGTATTACCTATACAAATTCATGTGTTACCAATACGTACCTATGATATGTCAGTATTGCAATTTGTAGTATTCTAAAATAAATACATTGCTTTATTCAAGACGATAAGTATTTATAAAACCTGTTGAAAAAAAATAACCACTAGCTTATGACCTCTACTACCTCCCCTTTCAAATTCCCATGTAGATTGTGTGTGTGTGTGTGTGTGTGTGTGTGTGTGTGTGTGTGTGTGTGTGTGTGTGTGTGTGTGTATGTGTGTGTGTGTGTGTGTTAGTGACATGTGTATACAATATACATACTAGGTGTCCCGCTCTGCGTCTCCCATGCCAAATCTATTTTTTTTATAAAAAAATGTGTATGGCGTATGCATACTATGGAACAATATTATTATGTAATGAAACGGTAGCCTAATACAATATAATATAACTATAAAAGTATTATGCAGCACCATCAGCACCTATATAGGCATATGACGTTATCCAGGGGTCGAGTCGTTTCTATAACTCGTTTAGCTAGTGTATCAACTATAATGGTCCCCGGTTAGGTTATCAGATATTATTTGTTATTGTTTTCTAGTCAGTAGTGGCTCACACCATACGTCACTGGTAATTATGTAATAATATATTAATATAATATGATATACCTACATAGTTGTACAAAATCGAGTTTTGGTTGATTTGGTCAGTGTGTGCCAGGTATGAGGTTACCCCCTCCCCCTAACTTATATGTGAAAAACCCATAATAAATACAGTGTTATGCGTTTACTTTGACTTCATCGCATTAACTTGTATGTATATATTCTAACATGATTTATAATATGCTGAGATAGAAAACTGTTAAAATTAGGAGAAGAGGAATGCGTCTACTGAGAATAGGTACTGATCAAATATAATTAAAACAAGTCGTTATAATAATGTTAATAATCATTTTGTATTGTTATAATAATGAAAACATAAAAAAAAAATACAAAATCTACACATAATAATGATAATATGTCTTATGTTACGATTTACAACAACTTATAAACAATAAATAATGAGTTTTCGTTTTACACCTTTATGTTTTCGTATTGTTTTATTTAATAAATTATTATGAAATTACTATGTTTGGTTAAAATTTAAAACAAAAATGTAACTAAGTTGTATACGAGATTGATCAATTTTAGGCCTTATGATTTATATCTGTTACGGTTTATACGGCGTTGTAATTGGATAAACGTACTATATACGGTTTAAATGGGATTTCGTGTATGTCAATTCGTCCGTTGTCGTGACCGCACAAATAGTATTGTAATACGCTGTCTTAAAATCGGGAAAACGGGATAAAGACATAGGGAACTGATTCCTACAGGGCCACTAGACCACTGTATTTAAAAATACAAACACAAATACCAACACGATATTTAGATGTTTTTAATAACTTATAATAACTTTAAATTTTTAATTACTTTGACGTTTATGTTTGGATGTGTGGAGTAAAAGGCTGTAAACAAAAAATAAACCTTGAGATCGTAGTCATATGATTGAAAATCGTTTTTAAATAATAAGTGTGTGTACCAAGCAATGTACAGCCCAATCACCATATTATTATGATACTAGCCTCCGTACACAAATGCTTTTTTTATGTTAATTATTCTAAAGAGGACGTTTATTAAGAGGAGAGATTTACTCCCTATACTTTATAGTGTAAATCCGCACACTTGCGGAAATATTGCAGTCTATTACCGTACGAAAGCCGTTTAAGAAGCAAACCGCAAGTTACAACATTACAATTAATCAATTGGTTCTGAAATGATTGAGATAATGAAAATTATTACTTCAAAATAGCACACAATCAAAAGCCTTAAATGTCAACAAAAAAAATAGTAAAATAGGTATTTTAAGATTTGATAATATTAATGTTTTATAATACGCTAGTGAAAAGTAAAGGGTGCCGCTGTTGCACAACCGGTCAATATTGAACACAGACCGTGAACGTAATTTATTCACGTCATTAAATCGCATCAACACTAGAAGAATCGAGCAGTATAATAGCCGGTCCGTGTCACAGTCGGTTTCGGTGCAATTTTGTTACCTACTTATAATATATTTTTATTTTTATTAAAAACCATCGAAATTTCCACTTCCAAACCCGTCGAACCCGCGTTGGCGAGCAGTCCCGTACAATTAAATAATAATTTTGTTAACTGTGTAATGTGTATCGTATATTATATGAGTATTGCAGTTAACCTATGCAGAATGGAGCCTCAAGATGTGTAAAAGCCTTGAACTTCCTTGAAAATAATTTATTGAATATTCGAATTTTACTGTTAAATAACGGCAAGGCGTACTGCTTGAGTTTCCAAATATCGTAGACGATTTAATACGTACCCCATACTGAATAGTAAGATGAGTACGGTTATTAATAGAACAACTATGTATATTTAAGTATAATTATACAGAGTGATTCAAAAATCTCCATCTGACTACTGCTCAGCAACCATAATTCACTAGTAAACGACCTTTATACTATTATTGTAAGGATTATATAGTCGGGTTTATTGTACATTTTTATTTTTGTAGGTTATGAGCATCTTATGAGCATTTGCAATGATCAGAAACTGTCATCAGTTATAGTGCCGAGATTGACATATGAGAAAAATAACGAATAAATGTGTACCTAATCTAACCAGTGAGATCATATTGAATATAAAACACTTTGTTGAAACTCGATTATTAATTATATTAATTCTAGCATCTTAGTTTTTAAAATATATATTCATTTTTAAAATCAGGCGAAGACTTTTGAATGACCCTGTACAATTAAATATTCCTACGCCTATATTTCGGACGGGACGTGCAACAGTGACGAATAGACTTATTGGGGGCCATATTAAATTTCGTTGTGAGGGGGCAAGTGAATATAAAAAAAAAAATATTAATAATATGTCCATACACAATCACGCATCAAGCTGCCCCGTAAAATATATGTCTACACTGTTCACCAAAACCACCCTCAATCTCCAGTGCCGGCACTGTTTCTTTTATATGGACACCCGCTTCATGGACAGCAGGGGCTGTTCGGTCGGTGGACTGTTGTAGACTACGGCGGCCGCGGCTGCGGCGTTCGCGGCCGCCCTTTCCGCCGGACGTATGTCGCGGTTGTAGTCGTACTGCACTGGTCCCACGCACGTGCACGAGCAAACGGACACCTGGTCCACGTCGTCACCCGCGTCCCGACCAACCGTATGTCCGGCCAACAGCTTTCCGTTGACGGACGTCACAGCTTCACCGTCGACGGTGATGACGTGCTGTGACACGCCTTGCAGCTCGTTGTCCTCGCGCCTCACCTCTTCAGCGTTCCTGTGAATAAGAAAAAAAAATATTATTATTATGGCATGTCTCTGTGTAATGTTATATTGTTATTATAACACAGTAGGTTTGACGTGATAAGTATAACAATAAAATAATAATAATATAAAAGATTAATTAAAAAGTGTTGTACATTTCATTTTTAAATATTTAAAATTACATGTTTTTAATTGCAAGAAGGAGACCATTGAATCGCGAGGGCAAAGATCACAAAGAAGACCGACAAGATAAGCGAGAAGGTGGAATAGCCCACTAGTAAGTAGCATAATAATAATAATAATAATAGTAACTATATAATAATATAAAAATAATATGTACGAGCATTATAATATTATAATTTAATATACTTTTTTTTTCTATGAATATAGTAATAGTATTATAATATCTCTGTGATAAATAAAATAATTCTCGGACTTTTCTTTATCTTATGACGTCAAGCAAGTATAATAAATATGATATATATATATATTACATAGTTACCACAAGAATCGTACATAAACTTAGAACCGTAATAAGGGTCTGAATAAACAACTACAAGTGACAAGATTATTTAGCTGATGGGACAAAGCATCAATGATCCCCCAAACCATGCCTGATAATATTTATTAAACCTCATGTGACATATTCGTGTCACGAGTTCCAATTTACAGAAAGTATTTTAAACTTGAAGCTGGAGGGAACGGACGAATGATATAATTGGCTGACGATGACACGGTATATTGTCTATTTGTAGACCCGGAAAATTAATTAAAATACAAACCAAAAATAATGACATTCAATAATATATTCATTAAATAGTTTTATTACATTTATTTTTGATAGTTTATAAGTACATATTATTTTATATTTAATTTGAATTGTTATTACTCTAATACGATTAACCTATCATTGATACCCTAGCGAAGTGACAGTTTCTTTAATGATAAAAGCCCTGGGGAGGGGGGGGGCAGAGCCCCAATATAATATTGGATATACTAAAATAGGTATATACTATAATGTTAAAAGTATAATATACTTATTGGCCATTAATAAATGATAATATATAAATATAGGAATCATGATTTCGTTTCTTTAACTTCCAATATTGGAACAATATCATATTTGTTTACCTATAGTGTAACCGATCCTTTTTGTTTACTAGTGCTAATATGAACTCGTGATTCAATATTTACTCAATAGATAATATTATTGTCAATACTCAATACACGATGTGTACTCATAATATGTATATAATTTCATTTTAACGGCGTCTACATACGAAACTCTCAAACGAGGAACCTAATATCAACAATTTACTGTCTTAGAAGTTGAAAGATAATGGACAATAAAATGTTTATAATATGTAACTATATTAGTAATAAGTTTAGATGACGATGCCAAAGAAACTGTGATTAATAAAAATAAAAAATAAACATAATAGTAACATAATTACTGGTAGGTACATTGATTATTGATAAATTAATTATTATAACTCTGCTACGGGACTTGTGGAATTCGCATTAAACTTAAAAACATTCTTTTTACATTTATGTTTCGCTGCATCATAAAATATGATATCATAATGGACCTATAAATTATAAAAAATATATATTATGATTATTATTTATTTTTATTTGTATTATGTAATGTTCTATGGTAAACTTAATTGTTAAAAATGTTTTGCAAATTAAAAATTCTTGTTATTAACCCATCCCATCCTAACCTAATCGATGCTTTAAAAATTGTTTCTTTTAGTAATATTATACTATATTATTATAACTTTATTTATAATTTTATAAATTTTTAAAGACACCTATCTTTATTTTTTCATAGTTCAAATATGTTTACCCTCCGAAGTAAAAGAATGAATAAATAAGACCTTATAGTACAGGATAATAAAACATTCTGGCAGAATAATTGTATATATTATGTATATTATATGTATTTATAATAATAATATTACATACATTTTGAACTTCGGAGAGATAACTTCGATTACTGTTCTAAATATATTTTATTAGTACATCAACCTTTGCAGCTCGTCGTATTATATAGAGGGAGTAAAGTTTATGTTTACATATAATAAGTATTTGACATACACTTTCGTTATTACTTTACATTTTTTAACCGCTCGGATATCTAGATAAATAACGAAAAGTGAAGGCTATTAAAATGTTTAGTTTATTTAACAAAATGTATATGATTCAGAAGACTGCCGATCATGACTCTGGGACCTTAATACCTTATATTTAGCATTATTAATATTAATTTAATTTTAATATGCAAACAAGATGGTACGTGTGTTTACACCCGCAATACAGGTAGAACCAATATCCCACAGATAAAAAAAAACTCTTGAATGAAAATTTAATTTAAAAATTAGCGAAGGGAAGTGGTATTCTGAATATATTTTGTATTAATTATGTTTTGTTTTTTTTATGCCAGATAATACAACCGAATAGTATTCTACCACACCCACTTGAATATTTTGGTCCCTATAGCCGAATGTTCATTATCCAACATCTGCACAGATGACGATATCCTGAAGACTACCAGGACCGACAATGAGTCTCTTTAAATCCATATTAATCATTATAATATAACAGGAGGTACCTAATTCATGTTTAAAAATGTCCCTATTTTCAATCCAATTCGAGATAATTATAAACGCATCTTACGTACCGGTACGATTTTTTCTAATTACTCTGATAATTCATTTTATTTTTCCACCTATAGTAGTCACGCGTCCAAGTGGGTAAGTGAAATACTACTATTCTATGAAATAATTTAGCAAATCTATAAACCGAGTAGAGATAGAAATAAGTGTTCATTATGGATTACCGTAATGTAGACAGAAGTGTGACAAAAAAAAAATAGTAAGAATCTTTACAGCGTGGCTCGTGAGAGAAGGCTTTTTCAATAACACACTGCAGAAATAGCTCACTCCCCGCCCCTGCCACACAATATTCTATGGTGGATACTGGATATGTATTTTTATTAAAATATCATAAAATAACATAGGAATGCGAATTATTTATAGGTCCTTCGCGATGACAAAACAATGTCGTGTACGACTTGCAGCAAACATAATTTGTATTCATGGTTTACGAACATATAATCTTGCAGATGGTTTACGAAACCATCACGTTAAAAACTAACGGGTTACTAATTTTCAAAGCGATTTCTTTTCCCTGGCAACAAAATGTCGACTGAAACGAAACTATTGTTAGTATAGTAAAAATATTTAGTACGTGCCTTCACGTGTGTATACGACGGCACGACGCACGTCCATCAAAGTAGCATGGACGTTTGTTTGGACCAGTTTTCACTTAATTGTATAGGTATACGAGGATTTAATTATTTTGGACGTTATCTTGATCGTCTCTGTTGTATGGAAATGATAGCGAAACGACAAAGATCGATTACATATTATTGCACCGTAATGGAAATCGGTGGGCTGATGAGGTCAAAAATAGTCGATCAGGGGAGGAAATTAAACCTTCCCCTAGTAATACGCTTTATACAAATATATATATTATATATGCATACACAAGTACCGATTACCTATGTTTAGAGGATATACTGAGCGTCACGCAGTGGTTGTTGAGGTCGTCCCTCGATGTAATATCATAATTATTATTTGCTCGATTGAGCAATGAAACGTTGATTGACGACTGGCCAAATTGTTTGTGACATCGATTCGATTATAAAGTTGGTTTCTGTCAGGTCCATTATATATAGTATTAGATAAAATTGGTGTGCAGTTATCTGGACACGTTTAGACACACGAGTACGGAATAATATTATAGAATGATGTCGTCCCTTTACCCATTTCACATTTGTATAGGAAGAGGCAAAAACTAAAGGTTTAAACTGATTTTAAATTCTACCGGTTATACTTTTTTGTATGTAAATTCTACTGATACAATTTTTTACCTGTAAATATATGTAAATTACATTGGTAATAACCTTTAAACTGCAAGATAAACGTATACACTCCATCAATGTTATTTTTTTTTAAAATTTAATTTAAATTTTAAGTTAAGGCTTAATTTGATTATAATGACATATTTTTCTTAACAATTTAAGTGCTTAATTAAATTACACTACGTGTTCAATGTCAAAGTCCATGATCTTTTTCCCAACTTTATTTAATTATATTTTGCAAAATTAGTTTTAATCTAATTATTTTTATTGTATAAATATTATATTATGTACAGATAAGACCTATGTATTTTCATTGTTAATTGTGCATAAAAATAAAAATTTGGATTTGATTTGTTTTTATAATATTGGTGGAAATTTTCATTAATTTAGTAACAGTTGAGTATACACTCATTGTTGGATTTGATAAAAAATTTACAAATTAAATTTCCTATTGGTATAAGTCCGATCCTAAAATCGTCTAGCTATATCTAAATATCAGTAAAATACTAAAATCTATACCCATCCCTTTTCACATATATTTTAATTGCTTATTAGTTATTAATTTACTATAATAAATAAACGTAGGTATTCATTTTTATATGTATGTTTTGAGGGGAAATCTTACCCTAATTTGCTGACTTCGTTATACTAACGCATAACTTTGCATATTTTAAGTAACTACAAAGTAATCCCTTTATATTATTTTTAATATTTAAGTAAATTTAACTATCATCATTTTTAAAGGTAAGTATACTATTTAGGCTTTACCATAGGCTTTTTGATATTTTTTTAATCTTTCAACAAGTCATGAGTATTTTAAGTGCTCATCACTTAATTTATACTTCAAATATAAAAAAATGTTCATACCTTTAACTTAAATAAACAGTTAGATTAAACTGATTTTAAAAACGAAAACCTAAAATTAGCCATTCTACTTATTATAGTTCAATGGAGACATCACGCGAAGGTACGAAGTCCTCTTAAGAGGTTAAATGAAGGACAATTTTAACCATACACATAAGGAAAACCAAAATGATATAAATTTATTCAATTTTAACCATGTAACGAATTACTAGTAATTAGGT